AAAAAAATAGTCCTGCAAACTTAGGAAGGAAAAATTAACAGAAAAAAGCATAAAAATTTAACATTTTCTTGTGTGTGTGTTAATACACACATCTTGGAAAGAAAATAAAAAAATTACAAAATTTAGTATTTTTTTGTATGTGTGTTAATACACATATGTTAACAAGAAGATTAAAAAAACTCGAAAATATAATATTTTTTGTGTGTGTGTTAATACACACATCTTGGCAAGAAAAAATAAAAAATAAGCAAATTTAACATTTTTTGTGTGTGTTAATACACATATCTTGACAAAAATTTAAAAACTCAGAAATTGAACAGTTTCTTTTGTGTGTTAATAAAAACATCTTGACAAGAAAATTAAAAAAAAAAAATCAAAAGTATAACATTTTCTTGTGTGTGTTAATACACATATCTTTGCAAGAAAAATTAAAAAATTCGTAATATTTTTTTTTTTTGTGTGTTCATATACATATCTTGACAAAAAAATTATAAAAAAACTCAAAATTTTAACATTTTCTTGTGTGTGTGTTAATACACACATCTTGACAAGAAAATAAAAAAAAAAACTCAAAAATTTAAGATTTTCTTTTGTGTGTGTTGATATACATTTCTTGACAAGTAAATTAAAAAAAAAACTCAAAACTTTTCTTGTGTGTTTGTTAATACACACATCTTCACAAGAAAATAAAGATATTAGTCCTGCAAAATTAAGAAGGAAAAATTCACAGAAAAAAACTCAAAAACTTAATATTTTTTGTGTGTATTAACATAAACACATCTTGGCAAGAAAATAAAACAACTTCAAAATTTAATATTTTTTTTTGTGTGTGTATGTGTGTGTGTGTTAATATACATATTTTGACAAGAAGATTAAAAAAAATCTCAAAAATATAACATTTTCTTGTGTGTGTATTAATACACACATCTAGGTAAGAAAATAAAAAAAAACTTCAAAATATAATATTTTTTGTGTGTGTGTTAATACACATATCTTGACAAGGAGATGAAAAAACCTCGAAACTATAACATTTTCTTATGTGAGTGTTAATACACACATTTTGGCAAGAAAATTTTAAAATTCGCAAATCTAACATTTTTTGTGTTTGTGTTAATATACACATATTGGCAAGAAAATAGAAAAACTTGAAAATTTAACATTTTTTGTGTGTGTATACACATATCTTGACAAGAAAATGAAAAAACCTCGAAAATATAACATTTTCTTGTGTAAGTGTTAATACACACATTTTGGCAAGAAAATTTTAAAATTCACAAATCTAACATTTTTTGTGTTTAGTGTTAATATACACATATTGGCAAGAAAATAGAAAAACTTGAAAATTTAATATTTTTTATGTGTGTGTTAATACACATAGCTTGATTAGAGAAATAAAATAAAAACTCAAATATTTAACATTTTCTTGTGTGTGTGTTAATACACACATTTTGGCAAGAAAATTTTAAAATTCGCAAATTTAACATTATTTGTGTGTGTGTTAATACACACATCTTGGCAAGAAAATAAAAAAACTTGAAAATTTAACATTTTGTGTGTGTGTGTTAATACACGTTTTTTGACTAGAAAAATAAAATAAAAACTCAAAAATTTAACATTTTCTTGTGTGTGTGTGTTAATACACACATTTTGGCAAAAAAAAATTAAAAAACTATAAAATGTTGTTAGTACATATATATTGACAAGAAAATTTAAAAAAAAACTCAAAAATTTAATATTTTCTTGGGTGTGAGTTGATACACACATCTTGGCAAAAAAATTTAAAAATTATAAATTTAACATTTTTTTGTGTGTGTTAATATAACACACATACCAAGAGTCGGACACATATCGATCTGATGATTGAGTGTATACAAATTATAACTTATTGAGTTCTCTTCTGTGGATAGGCAAACCGCATTCTTTTCCAATTTCGCAAAGGTGCAACGGACCAAACTTTCATGAGGACTGATGGGGAGCCCTGGAAACAACCACTGCCAATGGATGATGAAACTGTGATGGCCAAGTGAACATGCTTGCAATTCATGACTGCCGGTCCAGAAGCATGTACCACCCTTCAACACCCCAGAATAGTTTTTGGTTTTGGCTTGTGAAGAAGCAACTTCACAATCCTTCCTCTTTCCTCCGTTCTTCAGCCATTCTCTTCTAGATCTCGTGTGCTCCGTTGAAAATCCCCATAGTTGGCTGGTTACACACAAAGCACTTCTTGTTCTTCGTGTGATGCTGTATCATTACATAAACAGAACTCTTAGTTTCACAAACCAAAAACAGAATCATAATTGTGACTTATATTAATTCATCATCATACATTTAAAGCATAATGCTCACAGAAGTAATGCTTCATTTGGTGATAACTGGATCGACAAAAGTCTCTCTCCATATGTGTACTTACACACATCTTGCAAAAAAATTATAAAACTCAGAAATTGATCATTTTTTTGTGTGTGTGTTAGTACACATATCTTGACAAGAAAATTAAAAAAATTCAAAAATTTAACATTTTCTTATGTGTGTTAGTACATACATCTTGCCAAGAAAATTAAAAAACTCGAAAATTTAACATTTTTTGTGTGTGTGATAGTACACATATATCCACAAGAAATTTTAAAAAAAAAACTCAATAATTTAACATTTTTGTTGTGTGTTAGTACACACATATTGGCAAGAAAATTAAAAAACTCGAAAATTTAATATTTTTTGTGTGTGTTAGTACACATATATTCACAAGAAATTTTTAAACAAGAAAATTAAAAAACACAAAAATTTAACATTTTTTTGTGTGTGTGTTAATACACATATCTTGACAAAAAAATTTAAAAAAAAAACTCAAAAATATAAGATTTTCTTGTGTGTGTATGTGTGTTAATACACACATCACGGCAAAAAAAGTTAGAAAACACGCAAATTAAACATTTTTTTTTGTTTGTGAATACACATATATTGACAAAAAATTTAAATACTCGAAAATTTAACATTTTCTTGTGTGTTTGTTAATATACACATCTTGACAAGAAAATATAAAAAAAATAGTCCTGCAAACTTAGGAATGAAAAATTCACAGAAAAACACGAAAATATAACATTTTCTTGTGTGTGTGTTAATACACACATCTTGGAAAGAAAATTTAAAAAAACTACAAAATTTAGTTTTTTTTTTGTATGTGTGTTAATACACATATCTTGACAAGAAGATTAATAAAAACTCGAAAATATAACATTTTTTGTGTGTGTTAATACACACATCTTGGCAAGAAAAAAATAAAAAAAATTAGCAAATTTAACATTTTTGTGTGTGTTAATACACATATCTTGACAAAAATAAATTAAAAATTCAGAAATTGAACATTTTCTTGTGTGTGTGTTAATACAAACATCTTGACAAGAAAATTAAAAAAAAAATTCAAAAGTATAACATTTTCCTTTGTGTGTTAATATACACATCTTGGCAAAAAAAAAATTAAAAAAATTCGTAACATTTTTTTTTGTGTGTGTTACTACACATATCTTGACAATAAAATTATCAAAAAAACTCAAAAATTTAACATTTTCTTGTGTGTGTGTGTGTTAATACACACATCTTGACAAGAAAATTAAAAAAAAAACTCAAAAATTTAACATTTTGTTTTGTGTGTGTTAATATAAATTTCTTGACAAGTAAATTAAAAAAAAAATCAAAAATTTTCTTGTGTGTTTGTTAATACACACATCTTGATAAGAAAATAAAAAAATTAGTCATGCAAAATTAAGAAGGAAAAATTCACAGAAAGAAACTCAAAAATTTAACATTTTCCTGTGTGTATTAACATAAACACATCTTGGCAAGAAAATAAAAAAAACTTCAAAATTTAATATTTGTGTGTGTGTGTGTGTGTGTGTGTGTGTTAATACACATATCTTGACAAGAAGATTAAAAAAACCCCAAAAATATAACATTTTTTTTTGTGTGTGTGTTAATACACACATCTAGGCAAGAAAATAAAAAAACTTCAAAATTTAATATTTTTTGTGTGTGTGTTAATACACAAATCTTGACAAGAAGATGAAAATTTTTTTGAAAATATAATATTTTCTTATGTGTGTTAATACACATTTTGGCAAGAAATTTTAAAATTCGCAAATTTAACATTTTTGTGTGTGTAGTAATACTCACATCTTGGCAAAAAAATAAAAAAATTTGAAAATTTAATATTTTTATGTATGTGTTAATATACATATCTCGACTAGACAAATAAATAAAAACTTAAAAATTTAACATTTTCGAATGTGTTAATACACATATTTTGGCAAGAAAATTTTAAAATTCGCAAATTTAATATTTTTTTTTTTGTGTGTGTTACACACGACTTGCCCATGTAATTATTGTATTAAAGGAAGTGATAGGTAGTTAGGCACACACGGACCAAGAGTCGGACACATATCGATCTGATGATTGAGTGCATACAAATTATAACTTAATGAATTAGTTTCTCTTTTGTGGCCCTGGAAACAGCCACTGCCAATAGATGATGAAACTGTGATGGCCAAGTGAACATGCTTGCAATTCATGACTGCAAGCATGTACGACCCTTCAACACACTAGAATAGTGTTTGGTTTTGGCTTGTGAAGAAGCAACTTCACAATCCTTCCTCTTTACTCCGTTCTTCAGCCATTCTCTCTTCTTGATCTCATGTGCTCCATCGAAAATCCTCATAGTTGGTTGGTTACACACAAAGCACTTCTTGTTCTTCGTGTGATGCTGAATCATTACATAAACAGAACTCTTAGTTTCACCAACCAAAAACAGAATCATAACTGTGACTTATATTAATTCATCATCATACCTTTAAAGCACAATGCTCACAGAAGTAATGCTTGCATTTGGTGACAACTGGATGGACGAAAGTCTCTCTGCATATGAAGCAAGCAAAGGGCAATGCAACGTCGTCTTCGTCGCTGTTTTTGTCAGCGTCATCTTCATCCTCAACTCCCATAGCTTTATTTCTCTACCTCACTTTCTCTGCTTCGTCCCACTCTTTCTCTATCAGCCATCCTGGTTTGTAATCCCCACGGCCATGCAAGAACTTACAAGAATCTCCATATCCACAATATCCAGTTTCTTTGTAATCCTTACAGATATCTGGCTGGTAATCGAATCTAGCAGATACTCTGATATGAGCAGAAGCTCTTAATGGCCCGTGTGAACCTCCAGCTTTCTCGCTCGAGTTTGTTTGTTCTCTTCTAAAACCAGCTTTGTGATCTGTCTGTATATCCATGAATTCCGGTGTACAGCTTCTCATCCAAAGCCTTTTTTAAATTCCCTTTCAAATCTTCGTCTGCTCGTTTAAGAACCCTCTCACGAATTGCTCGTCGGTTTCGGTTTCTAGAGTTGCCGTCGCTCTACTGTCGTTTTGAACCTGGATTTCCTTGGACGAATCGTTGTGAAAGACGAGTTTCTCGGGAGCTTTACTCGTCGTAGCAGAGCTCTTGGATCATCCTACGAGTATGCGTCTACGAGAGTACGTGTACCTTGTCCTTTTGTAGTCTCAGCAGTACTCCTTAGAGAATCGCCTCCTACATGAATGTTTTCTTCCACCACATGATCCATATCATCCCCACTCAAATAGTCTTCATCATACAAGTTTTAAAGTGTTGTGATCCATCTGAAACAATGACAAAAAAGAAATTCAAAGCTTAGTATGTAAAACAGAGTCTGTAAAGCTTCAAAACATTGCGTAAAACCAGTGAGCAAAAGAGACAAGAGATCCTCAAAATCCCCAGAAAATAAAGCAGCTCATCAACAACAACGTCGGAAACTCACAAAACCAAGAAACTCGGATTAATCAAAAATATGAGAAGGAGAAGTAGAGCTGTCAAATGGGCGGGCTTCAAACATTGCGTAAAACCAGTGAGCAAAACAGAGTCTCTAATACATCTCACGTTGACACAGATTTCACTAAACTCAAACACCTAAACCCGTAACCAAAACAAGATTCCACCAAAACCTAAGAACCAATCATGTAGTAATGGGACACAAGCGTAGGACCTAAGAGCTCGTAGACTAATGATCTAATAACTAGTGAAGGTGCTTTATACCGCAAAGCAAAGAGAAATAACAATGGCTAACATATTGGTCACGATATAGAATGATTGAGAAGTCACTGCACTTCATTAGATTTTTAATTTTCAAAACAGTTTCCAGATAAAAATCCCAACAGAAAAACACACATTGGCTACATCTTTTTGATTCCAGCACAGAGGAAACATGAATTCAGCAGCTTTCTTAAAACAAATTACAAAGCGTATATACTCAAAAACTTGACCTCAGCAGCAGCTATACGGATCCAACAACAAACAGAGCAAGTGAGAGTAGTGAAGCGTAACAATGAAGAAGAGGAAAGTTAGAAACTTACGAATTGGAAACCGGAAAGGAATCGCAGAAAATGGGTCGAAACCTTGAGAATTCGAATCTCAATTATGTTCTTAAAAAAAATATTCGAACGTCCGTCTGATGAACACAATATTCATCAATGACTGAACATGTTTATGGGGAAAGCAATGCAAATTTTAGAAACTATCGATGTTCTGAATAAGATTATCTATCATATGAATATGTTTCATTAAGGATCTTACACTTAGATAGTCATTGGGGATTCCATTGCAAGGGCTTTCGTAGGCCTTCGCCACAGATCATCACTAATCCGCCACCGCCAACTGCACATTAACAAAGCTTAGTATGTAAATCATCTGAAACATAGTGAAAATCAAAATCGATGCAAAGGGAATTCAAAGCTTAGTATGTAAATCATCTGAAACATATTGAAATCAAAATCAATGCAAAGGGAACTCAAAGCTGAGTATGAAATCGAAAAGAAGGATTAGGAACTTACATGATCGAGAATCCAATAAAGATCCTATTTTGAATGAGATTTCCAAAACCAAAATCAAAAAACGAAAAACCCAGATCTTAGGAATCATATTACGAACAGAATCGTGGGAGGAAATCGTCGACAAAGAAGGATTGGAAATTATGATTTTCCCCAAATCAACAAATCCCTAAAATTAAATGTATTTAGGAAGTCTGATAACCATATGGTCATACCCGCTTCTGAACCGTGGACTAATTTGGGCATAGCCCATTTGGACAAGATTTATATTTGGGCATCATCATAACAGGCCCAAAATGATTTGGACTGGACATGTCCATAACAGCCCGCCTATTAGACATAGTCCACAGAGGTATGTATGCGGAAACGAAAACGTTTCGATGAAAACGTCATTTTTAAAAAATATAAAAATGAAAATATTTTGAAAACATACATATACATATATAAACTATTAAACATCTACAGTATATGTGTATATACTATACAAGTTCAGTAAACAAATATTTGATAAGTAAATTCTAAATAAAATAAAAAAAAACTCTGGTTTTATAATTTTATTAACACAATAAATATGGCAACCACAAAATTACTTCGATGAAATATAATTACATTCACAAAAATCAAAACGTAAAATTCAATATATCCTATATTTAAAAAACTATAATAACAAAATCATGTTACTTTGCTTATAATTACAATCTTAATAAACAATATCAAATCAATTTTAACTTGAAAAATAATATACTTTGTTTATGGCTTGTAAGTTCTAGTCGTATTTTTTTTGTTTCTAAGTTATGTAAATCGATTAGAAAACAAATATATTTCACGGTAGTTAATATAGATTTTAAAATTATTAAAATCACAAATATATATTTACATTCTTTAACTATTAGTTTTTAATATATAAACAAACTTCCTAAATACTTTCCAAAGCGGATATGCACGTTTCTAAATCGAAAACTCGCCTTTCCACGGTGTTTTCAAACCAAGATTTTTAGAAAACATGTGTTTCCCTCACATGTCCATCAAGTTTTGTTTCCAAAACGTGAAACGCACTTTCGATAGAGTTTGAGTGCAACATAGGTCCAGAGGGGAAAATATAACTTGCTATCAAGTTTAGCAATTTTCTTAAGGTAGTATAGTATAGAATTCTCGCTTTTCGAATCTCCGTCTTCTTCATCTGCAAAAGTCATTTTTTTTCCTCAAGTTTTTAGCTTTTGATGACTTTTTCAAGAAAGTGCAAACTGAAAACAGAAGAATGACACATTTGTTACTCAGTGTCTCCAGTTACCTTAATTAAACTATTTGGCTAACAGCAAAAAAAAATTAAAAAAAACCCGTAAAATAAGTTGAAAGGTCTAAAATCTCAACCAGACAACACAAAATTTACAAGAACTAAGAGAGAAGAAAACATATATGTACATTGTTGAGACTCTTGCCCAGCAGGTTGAGACTCTTCTTGCTGGGTTCACCAAAATCTGAGATTATGAGATAGAGACTATGTAAACACAATCACCCACTTGAAATTTTACATGAATAGTAAAAGTATTATTTCCCTAAGCTAAAATGAGGAAAAAAAAGTCAGGCGATTCAAAAATTAAGGGTCAAGAACGAAAAGTTCATCATAACGAAAGGTTTTAGATCTTATCAGAGTTTAATCTTAAAAAGATCTCTAAGAAAGGATTTAAAAAATGACAGTGCGCAATACAAAAACAGCCATTATTAACATCGACAACAAGAATCAAGGAATTGGTATAATAATCAAAGACAATAAGCATAGATCAACAAGAAAGCTTAACGATATTGCTCATTATTAGATAATATAAAGGTTAATAGGCCATAAAACCTTAATCTCTAGAGAGTGTCTGTAAGAGATGTCTCACATCGAAAGTTGAGAGGGACATTGACTAATATATAATGGATTTGAGCCAATCCACTCATTGCCAATTGGTTTTGTGTTGGAAGTTCAAGAAATTTAACATGGTATCATAGCTCAATCTGCACACTCTCGCAACCCTGGCCCAAAATGATCTGACTAGGGTTTATTTCAGACCCAAAAGTGGCATTGCTCGTTGACCCGAAATTGATGGTCTAGCGAGATTAACTACAACTTCAAATTACGATTTTAAAAACAATTTTTTTTGGAATACAAAGATAAGGTATTATAGGTTTGCACATCCTCAGTACTAGTTGTTTCTATTTCTCTTAATTTCCAAGCAAGTTTCTTTAAAAGTTTAATAATTATTGTATATGCAACAATAAATTCAGTGATCCCATGAACTGAAAATAGCTAAACAAAAAAAATATAGGACTGACATATAAATTAGGTACACCAGCTTAATGACTAACCGAATAAATTAGTAAAAATGAAAATCAAATTCTCAAATACATGAACTCTTAGAATTGATTAAGAAGAGAGGAGGTCCAGACCACAAATATGGTATACGTAAGCAAAATGGAATGGCACACGGTCACGCTCCCAGAGGACATTTTATGTTATTTTTTACTGATTCACTTTCGTTCTTGTATGTATACTGTTCACTGGCTTTGTATGGTATTATCTACGATTTGTTTTCCCTCTAATTAAGATCTCAAGAAAAGAGAAACTTTGAGACATATAGCATCACTCTTCAAAAGACTACTTCAGAGTAGTAACTTCCTACAAAAAGAATGGTGACAACCAAAATTAATGAAATTATCGTCTCAATTTCACCTACATGTATTACATGTAACTTTCTTCAACTATCTGCTTCATTCCTTGGTGTTCGATCTTCCTCGATTTCCACCAAATCTTCTTCTTCAGTTTTTTTACCGGCCTGCTCTTTCCAGTATGCTACCAACTTTTTCAAACGCACCATCTCTTTGGATAATATATGTTTGCTGGGATCATTCACGATTGTTCTCACCCTCGATGCATATCTGCACTCGGCCAAAGTAAAATGTGTTTAACATTCAGCCTATTTGACTATTATATCTACGTTTAGTATATATGCAAATTCCAATATGTATTGTATATAAAATGGGATTCATGACTTACAAAAGAGAATTGTATGTCTCATCCAAATTTGATTCGGCTGGAGACACATTGACAAACATTAACGTCTTTGCATTGCCGCCCAATGAATCACTCATCAACATCGTTAACTTGTGATTTCTGTAAGGTATATGCTGGTTTCCAGAAGATAAAGCACCAATAACATCACCTAATGCAGAAAGTGATTTGTTGATACTTTGAGCTTCTTTGAGTTGGCAACCAGCAGAGCCTGACTTTTTTACCCTCTCAGAACCAGCAAGATCCACAAAACTCAACTGCAAATTAACAAACATTGGATCAGAATATTATATAAGATACCACCATGAAAAATAACCATTTCTCATGTAGACAACAATAAATGAAAAATGCGGGTGTGATTATTGTCTCACTATATGGAACTATTTCATCCCTATTGTGTTACAGCTTGAGGGTTTAACCTAGTGAGCAATACATCTGATGGCGTTGAACTATTTTTCTCTAATACAAGATAAATACTATTATATTTTCTCTTAGGTACGGTGGACCACGCAATGAATATTTAAAGAAACTCCTATTCCTTGAAAGTCCTAAATGCTATCAAAATTTTATGAAAATGGATTATGAGTAAAACAAAAGGAAAACGACATCGCTGAATTTTGTCACCTTGCCCCTTGCAGCAGATTGGGTTTGAAGATCAATACTTTCAATAACTACCGAAAGTATTAGGTGAGATCTTGAGCTTTCTTCATTCATATTTGTTCCAGAGACATGTCGTCGTTCAGATCCCCGTTCAATAATCATTCGGAGTTCCTCCAACGTTGATATAGGAATAGTTGTCACATTCTCTACAAAGACCATACCCTGAGAAAATATTTTATGCATGACATCAGCCTTATGTGTCTATAAGCCAGTTAAATATATATCACATTACCTTAGAATCTTTTTTTAATCTCTAGTTTAAAACGTTTTGCAGTTTTTGGTAGCAGAAGGTCCACAAGTGTGTCTTGATAAAGTTCCACCATGTATGCCTGCATAACTTCTTGTAGTCATTTGGTGCCAGAATCTTTTTCACAACATATATTAGGATAATAAATTACCTTCAAAGAAAATGAAAATCTGTTGCTATCTCGCTTTAATATTTTGAAAAGTTCCTTTGTTGCTCGGGGTGTGAGTCCAGGATTGTTCTCATGCCCATATATTGTGAAAGTTTTTCCAGAACCAGTTTGACCATATGCGAAGATGCAAACGTTATAACCATCTACAGCTGACTGTACCAAATACTGTTGAATAAACATGATATTAGGCGATGAAACAAAATACCAATATGGGTGAAAGGTAAATGACAAGGGTTACATATCAATAATACCTTTGTGTCTTCGAAGACATCATCTTGGCTAGCACGCATGTCAAACACTCGATCATATATGTGTTGCTTTCTTTTGTCGTCTTTCCATGGATGTTCGACTGTAAACTCATCCACAGTTGTCAGCATTTGTTTTTCCCTCTCTGAACTCTCTTTTTCATTTAGAGGTCTTATACGACAATAAACTCTAATTTTCCCCTTCATATCTACAATTAAATACAAACAAAAATAAATAAAAATAAATTCCAAAAATCTAACAATAAATCTCGTTGTAAATACTTGAGAGCATGTTACCTTCTATGGTATTGTAGTATCTTTTCCTTAGAACTTGTTCTTCCTTGTAAAGTATCTCTAGCTCAGCAAGTTGGGCTCCTTGCATCTTCAAAATCGCAGCTGTTTGCTCATTCTTTCTGTCAATGTCCTAAAAACATGAAATTGGAATGTAAACACCTTATCCTTCTAATTTACTTTTCAGCTAAATCAAAAACATACATTATCAACATTAGAACATAAACAAAATTAAAACGATGAGAACTCAAGAGTAACAATACCTCCTTCATTTCTCTTAGCTCCTCAAGTTCTTTCAAGTTATTCTGCAACAGCAGCATGTCAGAATTCTTACTTTCAATCGTAGACTCAGCAGTATCCAAGTCTTTAGTAAGGACTTCCAGCTTATTTTCAAGTTCAGAAACTCGAAGTTTTAACACCTTTCTTTCTTGTTCATATCTCTTTTGGTGAATTTCAACCTGAAATATCAAAGATTCAACAATACGCAAGAATTTGCTACTTCTCAATTTGAAATAGGCCATAAATCTAATACATAGAAATCACCTCCTCTGTTTTCTTATTTTCAATACTGAAAATACTTTGCTCCAGTATCTTGTTCTCACTCAACAACTTCTTTGAATTCTCAACTGCAACATGCAATTCCTTATTTCGAATTTCTAACTCGTTTTGGATCTTGTGTAATATCTGTGACAGAAATTCATTGTTGAAGAAAAATAGAAAAGGAACAACATAAATACTCAATAATTAAAAGCACACCGACTTTTTGGGGGTCTATGAATCACATTTAAACACGTGATATTCACCTGATTATTCATTTCCGTTAATTCTGATTTTGTCTCTTTACTTGATTTTGTGTTGGCCGACTTCGCCAACTTTACTTCCATTCCTCGCAGTTCAGACATCAAGGTCTAGAGCATATATAGAATGAATAAATAAACAACTTCAAAGAAAGCAATAAAAGGAAGAGAAAAGATATAATATAACTAACCTGAATAGTCGTCCCCTTCTCGTCACACAATGACTTAAGTTTATCACGGTCTAAGATAACCTCCATCAAATTTTTCCTTTCAAGCTCTAAGCTATTGCGTATAGCTTCTACCTCTTCACGCAGAATAACTTCTTGCTGACTTTTCTCTTGCAGTTCATCCATCAACTAAACAACATAAACATGAGGTAATAGTTATTAGTTCATCAGCATTCAACTTTAAAAAGTAAAGAGGTCAAGGTCAGGAAAGAACAGTCTACATACAAATAACATGAAATTAGCAAGGACTGACAAAGATTTTTTTTCCTTTTTTAAACCATGACAAATTTTAACTATGTTATTTCATGCTTTCCAACCGAGTTTTCAACATTCCCTCTATAAATTCACCTTTACATCACCAAGAAACAAGAAATCTGGTAGATTGTGTACCTTATCAATCTTCTTCTGGGACTCTTCAAAAGCTTTAGACAAATCTTGCACACGTTTTTCATATAGTTCAAGATTTTGCGGCTTAGAACTGCATGATATATCTCCATTAACCAAGCTATTGGCAGCAGATCGAGCTTTGGAGTAACGACGCAACATGACATCATTTATATGTGTTTGTAAAGCAACACAGATTTCTTCTCCCTACAAACAATAAAATGGTGGTTCAAGTTTACAGGTTGCCGAAATTGAATATTTCGCAAGGAGTTGGTTCATAATTATAATGATCCTGAAACAATGATGATTGAACCTGTTTTGTCTCAAACTGAAATATGTGAAGAACACCAGCGACTCTCATTTTGAAAAAGACTGCAGTGTTACTGCTGCCAAATTGCATTATGTCACGTAATTCAGCTGAGTGCAGGTACTCTTTAGGAACCGGTCGGAAAAAGTGAACCTACAATAAAGCAAACAACAAATTCAAATCCAACAAAATACCTTTGAATTTCAAACAAATTGATAACAAATAACAGATTTTATGAAGAATCACAATGCACACATAGCATCTACTTAGAAACTGACCCCACGTTTGTTGATACCCAAAATAATTCGTCCAGGTAAAAGGCCAATCGGATCATCTATCTTGCGTACGCTAAAAAACACGGAATTCCCATATGGCAGTGCCTTCAATATCCGTAGAAATTGTTGCCTTGCATCATCTTTGGTCACGTTCTCCTACATCCCCACGAACACAAATACGAAGGAACTTTTTAACACGCTATCACTTCAATAAGATAGTATTTGTCAAGGGTATCTGATAAGGGAAAGATAGAACTGAATAAAATGCTTCCTACCATTGAACGGTAGCGAGCAAGGATATCCAATTCCCATTCACGCTTCGCTCGGGTTATTGCTATTTGTCTCGGTAAAAAAACCGCTCCAGAAGTGATGTCCAATCACTGATACGTGACCCAATGAGAAAGAAAATGATATTGTAAACGAAACATTGGACAAAAGGCAATGTAAAGTGCTACTAGACAAGGTAAAAAAGAAATCAGCGGCTTTGCTAAGCAAAAATGAAGATACAGAAGTTAAGAATACTAACATGCATGACTCTGGACTATTGACAAACCCAATCCCCACAAGAATTTGCAAGGCACAAAGCTGAGCAGCATCATCCCTTCCAACAGGATAGTTTCCTAGCAAATAGTCATGTTGAAGCTGCATGTATGTGTGTCAGGTCAGCAAGGAAAGACAAGTTTTTCGAGTGGAAATAAATATGCCATTAGTGAAGAAACTGCTCACTTGTACATAGGAAAGTTGCACAAACATCAGATCTGTTACAGCTTCATCAGACTCTCGAAATAATTTTTTTTTAAATACCAGTTTGCAGTGAAGTATCTCTCCTTTATTTCTATCTTTTATAGCTTTGAATTCTGCGAGGAGATCTCCAATATACTTGTTATCATCCAATCCAATATATTCCTCTGCAAATGACAGATAGAGAAACAATCGATAATGTAGTAGTATTGCTTCAAGATAAATGATCAAGAAGTCATATGAGAGCATACCATTTCCGGGATCAGATGATTTCGAACTTGAAACAACTTTACGACATTCAAACAAACTGAAGCTAGAGAAAGCTGATAGTTTAATTGTCCCAGCTAGCTCCTGACACGGATATGTCAATGCAGTGAGAGAAGTTTAACCAAAAACAAAGGGACAAATGAGAAACAAAACGCTACTAAGAGCAAAACTATTACTAATTTTTAATGCCTTGGACAAGAATATGATAAGCTAGCAATGCAATGCAAGGAAACTAGATTATGATTTATAAAAAAAAAAAGAGTTGAAGAAGATACCTCAACAGCATCAGACACTGTTGTAGCCATGTCATATGATATTTCTTCAAAAGTTTCATCAAGAAAGAAGACTATGGTTGTGAGCTTTCTAGCGGTCAAAAGGGCTTCTATTTCTTCACGGCCGGGGGTGGTATGTCTAGGACCAGCTTTGATAGAGCGCTTTAAGGCCTTCAAAGTATTTACAGCAAGAACTTGGGCCTCCGGTTCAATAGTCGCATCGTGTGCGACATTATGAATATACTCAGATAGATATCCACCAATATCTTTGCTAGGAGGCATTGAGGAGGCGCATAAGTACATCAATTCCCAAGCTTTGATAAGGTATTGCCTGACAATGTGCAAAAAAGGTAAGAAGTAGGCATAAGGTCAGATGCATATTAAGCAACCGGCAACGGCGGGAGAGAAGAAAAAACCTGTCAGGGTTATGTCTAGTCTGTTTGGAGATTTGGGCAAAAAGTTCGTCCCTGAGTTCAACACGTTTCAAAGTTTTCTTGAAAAGCTTTCCAACAAGGTCAATGCGTTCATCTAAACTGGGAGGAGTTGATCGATCAGAGGAATCAACGCCCATATACTTTAAGATGAGATGAAACAACTTGGTAGCACGGCTGACGAGATCGCTGTTTATCTTGAGCAGGGATGTGGGGATGGGATCCTGAAGGGGAAGAGACATTTAGCACAAAGTCAATGGAGTGTTACTGCAGCAGAGAAGGGAGAAAAGGAGGAGACCTTCTGAAAGCAAAGCATATCCTCGAAGGTGAAGCGCTCTCGGACATGAGAGCCCGATGACTTTTTGGAATAGAAGAAGCCACGCTTTCCAGCAGACTGGATTTGCTTCTGCATAAGCCGGAGAAAAGCCTCAACCTGGAAGCGATCGATGAGGGGAATGGCGGCAGCGAGCTCTGCAGGAATTGACAACGCCACTTGCGGAGCTGGGGAGCTGTTACAAGAGTTGTAATGCTTGAAAATTCAGAGACGAGTTGAGACAATGGAAGAAGAAGGAGGAGGAGCAATGACTTACAGAGGGGGAAGAGAAGACGATTCAGCATCGAAGTCGGTACCAGAGGGGTTGGGAACATAAAAGCAAGAAGAAGACACGTCGGCGGCGACTTCGTTGCCATTGCCAGAGCTCAATGAAGAATTACTGCCTCGTTGGCCCTCCATTTTCCCAAGGAAAAGAGATTGTAGATCTGAAGCACAATTTGCCCGGAAATGTGGGCAGAAGAAAGACGAGAGTCACGGGAGACTTTTAATTGCCCATTCAATACTTCACGATTCAGGTCATGTTTTGCTAATTCCTTGTTTATTTAGTAGTTTAAGAAGATGAAGTTAGTCGAAGGAATCACGATTCAGGTGTATTAGTATTCTGAAACCAAATAAATGAATGATGCAAAAGAGACGTGCATCCACGTTCATTGGCCGTGGTTGTGCCTCCAACACCACAAACAAATCTTCTCAACATCTGCTTTGGTGTCATTTTTCAATACAATAATCGTTTTCTGTTTTGCATTATGCATTATTAAGTACGGTATGCAAGGCCGATTCAACACCAGCGTTGTAACATGTCTATTCTCTTTCCAGGACTAAGCCATAGTGCTCCAACACCTTCACAGCTTTGCTATTGCTGCAGCAGGCAAGTTGTTCCTTGGTGGAAGCTTTAAATCCTCCAATCCCTCCACTCTCTTGAAGTACTGCTCTACCATGCTATCCTTCATGTCCTCCAGTCGCCATGGCTCCCACTGTAATTTCAGTATACGGCATTGTGTCAACGCAGTATGACATCACCACAAATACTTCTAAACGGAGACGTTTTTTTGTCAAACCTTAGGGTTCTTATCTTTGTCTATCAATATGGCTCTGCACCCCTGCATAAGTAAGATAAGTTGTTGTAATTATTTCTACAAAATGGACAGCTTCAGGAGGAAGATACAATCGGGAAAGCTGACGAAACCTCCACAAAATCTTTGCTTATTTCTCCCTTCATCACATGACACACCATTCTATACTCACGGATAAGACACTGCCCCACCCCCTGCAATCTCCCTTCTCTTATCTGAAATGTATTCACACAGTCAGCTCTTTCCCATCATAACTTGTGATGCATTCCGGGAACTAACCGATCTAAGAGAGATTTTAAGGCTTGCTGGTGAAGCCTTTTTCAATGCTTGAATGGTAGCTGAGATCCAATCATCTTCTTCATTCGCGGCTTCTCTCTCCTACGGCAACACATATGATGGTACAGTGCATCATCGAAGGTAAATCAATCAACTCAGGACCGCAAGTCAACATTTCGTGTACATAGATGGAAAACTTACAAGTGCAGATATAATTTCTTCGACTGTTCTCCCCGAAAAGCACCTATCAACAACATCTAACCTGCGTAAACAAAAAAAACAAACAAAAAAAAAACAGAGAGATAGTAAACAGCTGTCCTCGGCACTCTTTAATCCGCACAAATTTTCCAATCAAGTTCTTATGAGCAATGGATTCTTCCAAGAGCGATTGAAAGCTGACCCCAATACAAGGTTAGAGTTTTGAAAACATGTAATGTAATCATGACCGGTAAAAGGGTAAATGTTTTAGCACATGACCTGAATGTGTGCGATTTTGGCATGACAAAAGATATTGGGCAAACACAGGTACAATAGAATGACAAAAAGAGATAAAATCCTGTACACTTGCCTGTGGTAAGCACTATGCGGTTTCAGGTGCGGATGCTGAGTGTATGCATCGAGAATTGTTGAGGCAAAGGTTGGATCACTTGAATTAACTCTGTAAAGATCTGCTTCTAATGCAGTCAACCTCTGTGACAAAGAGTAGCCTGGCTAAGTCACAACCCTTGGCGAAGCAAAGAGTGTCTGAAGTGTAAAAGTTATTCAAAATGCCATAGAGACAATAAGGAAATTTATATGCCGCAAGTTTGGTTATAACAGTCGAGTCAGTCAACACAAACCATCGTGCCGGAAAATATAAGCACGCTGCACAAGACCGTTCCAAAGACAGATATAACTATAGTGCAAGATATGACAGACGCCTCAAACAGTCCTTGGCAAGAAAAATGCTAAACACAGACACAATTTCTTGAAGGGCATCCATATGTCCATTGTGCCAGTTCATCAGCTATCATAGTCCATTAGTTCAAAAAAAAAAAAAAAAAAAAAAACAATGGCATTCTAGTTTTTAGCATGTCAAGTTGCTATGTCGGCGATTGGAAATACTAAAGACGTAAGCAAAGGAAGCTCATACCGTCGAAGGCACAAAATGTGTTGCAAGGCCAAAAGCAAGCATTTCAGCGCCATCTAACCTAGCACCCGTGAGGCCAACATACTCTCCTAAACAAGAAGACAGGAAGGATGAGAGTGCAAACGTTTGTGGGTTTGAAGGACATGCAAGACCAAATAACTTTTGTTACCAAAAAATCCAGGGAGCCTTGACAGGAAATAGGACGCGCCTACATCTGGAAAGAGGCCCAACGCTGTCTCAGGCATGGCGAAAACCTTGGAGAAACTCAAAAGATATGAAATGATATGAGCATATTTCAGAGAGATATATGACAATGTCATCCATGGACATCAATAAAAAAAAAAAAAAAAAATACCGTATTCTCCGTTGCAATACGAAATCGACCATGGACGGAGACACCAGCTCCGCCTCCCATGACAATACCATTCAAAATTGAAACCTGTGATTGCAAAAAGAGTAATGGAAAACGAACAAATGAGCTTGCACACTTTGAGTAAATCCACTAATTAAAAAGGTAGTATGATAACGAGACCTGAGCTTTGCTATACGTGGCCATAACATAGTTGAGCATGTATTCATCTGAGAAGAAATTGGCACTGAGCCTCCAGTTTCCTAGCCACGAAAATAGAGAAAGATTGTGTAGACGCTGAAAGTAAGAAAAGAAAAAGAAAGATGGGAAGGTGACAATGACATACCTCGTCCGATGTCACGAGCAACAGCTGAAACATCGCCACCAGCACAAAAGGCTCTTCCCTGACCCTGTGGAAAAGTTATTCACTGTGTGCAAACGGAAGATATAAGGATAGTGATATTACCTTTAGGATGACAAGTTTCACGCTAGGGTCCTTCTCATATTCAAGGAACAGTTCCAGCAACCGAGAGATCTAGAGAAGATTGATTCAAGCCAATCATGCAACTAATACGCGAAACGGAGGAACAAACAAGAAGGGAGAGATTCAGTACCATCTGGAAGGACAGAGCATTCAGCTGTTTTGGCTTGTTTAGTGTCAAGATCCTAACACCCGCTTTCTCTTCCACCAAAACCTGTGAACAAATTGATTCAGAGAGAAAAGAACTGATCGTCATTCGATTCGCAGTAGAGAAGAGGAAAGGAGACCTGAGAGTGAGAGGCCATGACTGTCGTCTTATTCTTCTCTTCTTTCTGTATCCTCCCAGACATATAATATAATGCCAGAGCGGATGCAGCAACAAGATCCAGGGAATGGCAACAAATCTTCTTTTACAGGAAATAAACTGATGTTGGGCCTTAAAGATGATATTTTGGTCTTGTTGTAGAAATTAACTGGTTTTTAGTATTGGGCTTTGTTTTTGTAATGTCGTAGTCTAATGGACCTTTCAAATTCTCACTTTTTGCAAATTTGTCAAGAGTTCGTTTCAAACAGAGGTTAAAATGATACGACAAATCATGAAAGTAGGGACAAATTTTCTTTTTAACACTAGAAATTAAGAACGTTAAACTGAATGAAAATGGGAAACTTTTAATGGAAGATATTTTTTTAGATGAATGCTGCATGAATACAACGTATTTGATTATAAGTTGTGGTGTATATACTAGAGTGTTCTTTTGTGTAAGAAAACAGATTTCTTTCGTGTCGTTACTTCTTCTTCTATATGGCTTTTGAACAGATTTAATTCTCCTTTGATTCGTCCCTTTTGACTTATTTTGTAATTGTCTGAACTCTGAACGCGTGATGATCAGTTTGCATGTCATAATGATCTTTTTGAAAATCTTTTTGTATCTATTTACATCGAATGTAACTCAACTCAGCAGAGCATGGTAGTGCTGAGGGAGAGATTTCTCTATAAATAAATTGAGGTTAAGGTATTCATTCATTATTTTATCTTTTTCATCGCCTTATAAGTGGACATGTCTTTTTGTATATCAGAACATTTTTTAATTAGCTTTGTAGTTTTATTAATCACAGCGGGGTCCAGCCACTAGCGATGATCAACAGTAGATGATCAAATTAACAAAATATAAAAATAAAGTGAAGATATATGATATGACGAAATTAGCTTTTTTGGGGTTTTTTTTTTAACTAAGGGGGGGTTACATGAGACTACAAAGTAAAAGAGAGGAAACCTTGTTCTCGAATTGTAGTTATTTCTTGCTTGCCGAGAAAGTCTATGCATGTGTATTTTTTTTTTTTTTTCTGTCGAAAGAGTATGCATGTGTATATTAAGAACAGTTAGGTAATTAGTAACGGGAAGAGAAAAAAAAGAGGTGGTCGAGTCGGTAGTGGAGCAATGGCCAAGAGTAATTAAGATGATGATTCTATATCTATAAAGTCGCAAGTTGGCATATAATTTAATCAAAAGCGGAAAAAAATCATAAAAAGCATAATCAGTTAGTCAATAAAGGATTGATGATTGTGTTGGACGATTCTCTTCTACTATTCTTTCTGTTAGGCAACCAAATTGTCATTTTTGTTGATATTACTAAGTTCCTTTTGTGTTGAGATTTGAATAGAGACATGAAGGAGATGGTCTAAGGCTGATTCTCAACATTGATGATTGATCTCTCTTCTCATAATTTATTGCTTCATAACATATCACGGTAAGCGGACGTTCGGGTCAACACCGCATTTATATGCTTTTATGTTTTTTAATCTCTTTGCCCTCTTCGTTGTTTTGCGTAATCAAGGAATAAGGGATCTTCTTCTTTTGGCTTCCATGGCCACAAGATGCTTTTGGTATTGGACCATTTTGCTCTTCTGCTCCCTGCTGCTTCCCGGCTACGCCCGAGCTTCCTCTCCAGGCGGTGCCAAAGAGAAAGAGCTCTCCCAGACTCCCACCTGGGCCGTTGCTCTCGTCTGTACCTTCTTCATCCTTGTCTCTGTTCTCCTCGAGAAGGGTCTTCACAGAGTTGCCACGGTTTGATGCCTTGGCTTTCTTCCTTCTCTTCCGCATGTATTCTCGCCTAAACCTTTTTAATTCCTTTTCTTTCTCAGTGGTTGTGGGAGAAGCATAAGAACTCTCTGCTTGAAGCCTTGGAAAAGATTAAGGCCGGTAAGAACATAGACTTTGTTTTCTCCTGTCGTTGGTCAAGAAAATTAACATGTATGAAATGGACGCAGAGCTGATGATTCTAGGATTCATTTCCTTGTTACTCACCTTCGGAGAGCAGTATATTCTCGAGATTTGTATCCCTGAAAAGGCTGCTGCATCAATGCTACCTTGTCCAGATCCTTCTTCTACGCATGACCAAGACAAGACCCACCGCAGACATCTAGCTGCTGCCACTACCTCATCCCGCTGCGATGAGGTCAATATTTAGCTTTCCTTTTGATAAACTTCACGCTATCTCTTTTGTTATCTCACTCTATTTTGACTACCGCAGGATCATGAACCACTCATCTCTGTCACGGGTTTGCACCAGCTACACATCCTATTGTTCTTCATGGCTGTCTTTCACATTCTCTACAGTTTCATCACCATGATGCTTGGCAGGCTCAAGGTACGACAAGCCTGACTTCCTTTTTTGCCCCAAAGCCCTCCTTTCTTCCTAGCTATTCATCATTTTCTGCAACTGCAGATCCGTGGCTGGAAAAAGTGGGAGCAGGAGACGTTTTCTCATGATTACGAGTTTTCAGTCGGTAGGGCGGGTTCCTCTTAATTAAAACGCCTTGTTTTTTTTTTATATAGGCCACTAAATTGTCTCTTCCCTGCGCATAGACCCATCAAGATTCAGGCTCACTCATGAGACGTCCTTCGTTAGACAACATTCCAGTTTCTGGACAAAAATCCCCTTCTTCTTTTACGCTGTGAGAAACATGTCCTTCTTCTTTGGCAACCCCTCGCGGCATTAAGTTGTTGACTAAAACTTCATCTCCACCATCTGATTTACAGGGGTGCTTCCTACAGCAGTTCTTTCGATCTGTCGGGAGAACCGACTACCTGACTCTGCGCCATGGTTTCATCGCTGTAAGGCGAAACTCGATCCTCTCTAGTAATTTTCCTTCTACTTTTTGGTGATGTTTTATGGGTGAGTCTCTTTTAGGCCCATTTAGCTCCGGGAAGAAAGTTCGACTTCCAGAAATATATCAAAAGATCATTGGAAGACGATTTCAAGGTGGTAGTTGGAATAAGGTACATGACACAAGACGCATTCACAGTGCTAGTGCGTTGAGGTTTTTGTCCACATTGCTGACAAATTTTTGCTCTGCAGTCCACTTCTATGGGCATCATTCGTGCTTTTCTTACTGCTGAATGTTAATGGTGAGCCAGCTTTGCATTTGCTCGCTTCATTAAATCATTCTTTATTAGTGTACTGAAAAAAGTTATCCCTTCCCTTTTATAGGCTGGGAAACAATGTTTTGGGCGTCAATCCTGCCTATAGTTGTAAGACAGAGTTATGCTCTTAAATAGATTCTTCCATGGTTGTAGATGCAAGTCTCATTATTGCAACTCTTGCAGATCATTTTAGCTGTCGGTACGAAGCTTCAAGCGATCCTAACAAGAATGGCTCTGGGGATCACGGATAAACACGCAGTTGTCCAAGGGATACCTCTTGTGCACGGTTCAGATAAATACTTTTGGTTTAATCGCCCTCAGTTGCTGCTTCATCTTCTCCACTTCGCCTTATTTCAGGTACTTGCACCTTTTAGTTTCTGACACAACCAGCATTGCATGCTTGTGTTCATCTCTAGCTCCATCCTGCAACTTCTGTCTGATGAGCCTTCTTTTTGTAGAATGCTTTCCAGATAACATACTTCTTCTGGATCTGGGTAACTGACATCTCTCTGGTTTTTTTTTATGCCCTACTCTGTTTGTGCGATGTATTTTCTTCTATATCAATAATATACATTGCGTTAATTTGGCATGCAGTATTCCTTCAAGCTAAAATCTTGCTTCCACAAGGAATTCAAACTTGTCATCGTAAAACTCTCTCTTGGGTAAAACTTATTCTTCACTAGCCACTAGTGAAGAAACCAATTCATAGATCTATCATGCCTGGAACGATTCTATCGGGCTCAACAAGTTGGCTCTGTATATATTTGCAGCGTAGGAGCTTTGATTTTGTGCAGCTACATCACGCTTCCACTGTACGCGCTAGTTACTCAGGTACATCATCCTAATCTCGGCCTTCACCATCCAGATACGTGTGGGGCTAGAGAAGCTTACAAGGGGATATAACCAAGCAACAAACTAATGTAATGTCGTTGATGTGGGCAGATGGGTTCACACATGAAGAAATCTGTGTTTGATGAGCAAATGGCAAAAGCGTTGAAGAAATGGCACATGGCTGTGAAGAAGAAGAAAGGCAAAGCGAGAACGCCACCAACAGAGACCCTTGGTGGCTCTGGCAGTGTCAGTACCTCTACTTCAGCCTTTCACGCCTCTGGAGCCACTCTACTCCGCTCCAAGACCACCGGTCACTCGACAGCCTCTTACATGAGTAATTATGAAGACCAAAACATGTCTGATCTTGAAGCTGAGCCATTATCTCCTGCACTGATAGAGGGGCACGCTATCGTCAGGGCTGGAGATCAGCCCAGAGAGATGGAACATGCTGGAGAAGTGGAGATAATAGCCCTGGAAACCAACTCTCCCTGTTAGTCCCAATGATAGAGTTTGATATTCAAAATGAATGCACCATCCAGATCTTCTTTGTTTTCTACTAGACTTGCACGCTGCCATACATAATTACCTTGCCAAGTGTTACCAACTAGGATGTCTGTCTAAGGCTGTATTATAAAGCTCCAAGCCTACATTACATATCTAGAGACAAGGTAATGAGATGTCGGGCCAGGTAGCTAGAATAGCTAACTGGCTTCACATAACATCGTGCAACTGACTATTACTGCCAGAATCATCCACAAAACATGAAATGAATTTTGATAAAATTGTCTAAAGCGAGGATTAAACTGATCTTCAGCAATAACTGATATAAACGGGCTCACTAAGGCTCATCCTCGTCATCACTGTCACCTCCAAACATGGAAGCCATTTTCATCGCTAGATTTGCAGCTATTTCCCTCCTCTGGAAATCAGGCATCAATCGCAAGTTGTCACGGATGTTCCCTATTTCTGACATCAACTGTTCCACGTCTTCAAACTCGAAACATTTGTCGTTTTCTGCGTCCAAGGGAATTTCAGCTGTCGGATCTGCTCTGCCAGTCTCATTCTGTGGCTCTATCCTTGACCCTGAAGGCCGCAGCTCTTCATCCACAACTTTCTTTGGCTTCCCCATATTATTTTCTACCTCGAGGTTTTCGTGTGAAGTGGATCCGCCAGCATCTGTGTACGAACGCATTTCACTTGCGGAAACCCATCTTTCATCGATATTTTCCCACGGATCAGCAGAGCCTGATGATAGCACTTCATACTCCAATTCATATTCAGATTCTTCTTCCGACGACTCTGACAAGGAGGAAAGTATAAGATAAAATCAACATGAGCCCAAGGGGAACCCCCTTGCTATATATATATATGGGAGAGAAAAAACTAAAGGAGCAATTAACCTTCACCATGAGGTAACACCGGTTCATTTATCTTATCACCCGATTTCAGAATCATTCCAGGCCACATATGTGCGGAAAGGGCACCAAATAGACGATCAACCCCTTGAGAATCCCCATCGACTGATAAACCTACAAGGACCAACCCCAGAGTCTCATAAATGCTAGAGACAAATACGTATTCTCTGCTCATCATTTCTCAGCCAGTTGAAAGTAAAACCCGGCAACCCTGGTTACTCCATCAAAATGAAGGGCAGAAGTAAAGGATTGACTGAAAAGCATACAACTTACACTTGTCAAAATCAGGATTAGATGCACAAGCCTCAATGAACTCGACGTTGTTCTCGCAGCACCAATCAAGGCATGTTCCTCTGATATCCAATGATGTATCTTCGCTCCCCAACAACCTACTTCCTTCACTTTTGGAGATCCCAAACTCATCAACATCTGAATACAGATTGCCAGAGGAGTCTGTTGCCTTCAGAAGACGTCTTCTATATTCATCATGAGCTAGGTGATGAGGGACTAGATCTACTTTGTTCCCAATGCACAGCAATATATCAAAATTGTTGATGTCAGTATGAGAAACCCAGTCCTGAAGAGCAACAAGAGTTGACAGCTGCAAAGAACGGGTAAATAGGGTTATGGCAAGATGAGAGAATAAGGAGTCACAGCCGTATCCATGTCGAACCTCACTCAAGTCGAAGACCATAACTAACGCCACCATTGGAGGCGACTGAGGGAGACTGGGCAGAGAGTTGTCGTCGCAAATATGTGACATCCATACAGAAACATCCGCAGTGTAATACTTCGTGTTAATCCTCCAGCTGCCCACATGGTAAAGAAAGTTGGAAAAAGAATCGTAACAAGCTCCTCAGGATATATACACAAAACACCGTCGCCCTTAGAGATAGATATACCCATGAACTTCTGTTTGAGATGGTGACTCCGATGAATCCTCAAAATTGTCAGAGAGCAATCCTGAGATTCAAATGATTCAGAGAAAAAAGTCAAATGGCAGAACGATTAAAAGGAAACCCTAGACAAAAAGCGAAATCGGATCTAAAAGAGGAAAAGCACGTACGAGAGAGGAGAGTGCGCTTGCCGACGCCGGAGGATCCGACGACATAAACTCCCGGCCGGCTTTCCATCAATGTCATACCAGACGCCTCCATCTCCGCCAGTGATCGCTAATTCTGATTTAAGCTTGTGAAGGTCAATCAGGCCTAGAGTAGAGATGAAGTGATGCTGATAATTAAAATATTTTCTTAACAAATATTATAATACCCAACAGAAAAGGCCTAGTACAATTACGAGGCCCAATACAACGAACAGATAACAAAGGCCCAACGCTATCTATTATTTAGCGACGTGAGCGTAATCACGTCTGAATCGAACATGAACGATGATGGTTTTAAAAAAACACACAACCACTTTCGCGTAGAAAGAAAAACAGTTGCTACAAACATATGTCGGTGTTCTGGCAGACGGTGTCCATAGATAGATGCATATTGCGACGAGCTCGCCAGACGCTGCCTGCACCTACAGAGTCACGGCAGAAGGGCGAAGCTGCAAATCCGGAAACCCAAGTCGCGTGATGTTACTACTACTTGGCGGTAGAGTTGGCCTGTGGCGCTGAGGGAAACACAAAGACACTTGAAGCAACCGCAGATGGCTGAAACTCGGCAGAATATCGCACTGATGTCACAGTTATCTTCGGGAGTTGCTGTTGACCGCAAGTCAGGGGCACTAGCTTATAACTTAAGACGTGATCAGACTTGGGGAGGACTGAAACCGTATTGCTGTGAGACCCAGACAAGACAAAACTCTGTGCATCAGCCAGCGCAAACTTTGCTTCTTGGAGCAACTGCGTCTGGTTGCAGATTCTAACGCCGTAAGTGAAGGGTTCTCCAAGAATGGCAAACGGAGGACAGTTCAAACTCATTACCAGTGGTGATGCCTCCACATTTACTTCAGGAAGTCTGTGCTTTGTTAAAACACATGCCTCTGTTGTGTTAATACCTCCTTGCCTCCTCCATTTTAAATGTACTGATCCCAAGCCAAGCTTTGGAGTTCTCAGTGTTGGTATGACTGTGAATACCTTTTTGAACTCTTCCCCTGGCGCAAGGTTAGAGCCCGGGGTATCTCCACACCCACCACCCTGCTGAATCCAACATGAAGTTCCCACTTGCTCATCATCCAATTCAATCGACATGGACACCAGTTTCAGTGCTATCTCTGTGCAATTTTTGGCACTGACAACTAACACGCTTTTTTCGTTCAGCGGCAGAGAAGCCATGTCTTCAGAATCCGGGGCTGGCTTGATCCTATTGAGCAACAGGTGATCCCTTCTATATGGCAACATAAACCGATTGCTAATGACAAGAGGCATTTTCCCTTCAATCTGCAAGCTCTTGTGTATGTGGACTTTTTGGGCATTGGCTTCACTGCCATGTGGCAAATAACCCAATGACACAAAAAGCATGACAGGCTTCGGTCTATGCCACTTGATTTCTAGTTTGCACGACCATGATTCTCCTTCCTTCAGGTTTGGAACAGAAACCAGCCCAAAAGATTGCTGAATTTTCTTTATGTTCCCTGTTTCAGACTCAGATTCATCGTTTCCTTCTGCCCCATCAATACCACATAGTTCGACATGATGGCTTTCTAAAGAGGGCTCTGCTTCTCTTGGGCTAAACAAACCACCACCACCCACATCAACTAGATTAATCTTCAATTCACCACTGTATACGGCATGACCCTTTGAAGTTACCACAATAGGCATCGTAAAATCTTCTCCAACTAGGGCAGGACCAGAGGCACCTAGACTGACGTCCACCTGTGGTTCAGGTTCTTCAACTTGAGTAGCTTTCTGGCCAAAGACTGCAAGAACTGGGTCCTTTGTTGGCAGAGATTCCACACGATTCTCATGCTTCCAGACAGGCAAATCCTCCATTGCAGCAGGACTCTCGGCTCTTGAACAGATGGTGAAAAGAGGCCCTAATTTCGCGAGGACTGAAAGACACTCAAGCTTGCCGCTTTGCTCTGCAGATGAAAAAAAAATGCGAGAAAAGTTAGGCAAACAAATCCTGGAAGCAAAGGGAAAAACAAGAAAATATCAGTTTACCCTTTGATTCCAATAATATAGATACAAGTTCTGTAGATTCAGTTGTGCTGAATGGTAACTATGATTATGAAAGCGTCCAAAACAGGTTTGAAACTTAATGAATAAAATGCAATACGTGCAAGTGTGTGAGTGAGATGCAAACAACAACCTCTGAATTAAATCACACTAACCAGACTTGATTGCGTAGGTCAACCTTAACCAATTATTCGGCACAAGTACCAGCGACGGCTCTTCCTCTACTTGGCTACCACTTTTCACAGTGTTTGACGCAGAAGCCCAACGAGGCCTCTGTGAATTTTTGATGACAAAATTGCACGTAGATTGATTGAACTGAACTTCGAGATGATCTATTTCGACTGGAAGAGGTAGATGCGAAAGCAGTGACAACGTAATAGAGCACAAAGCACGAGGCTTGATCAGTTGCTCGTGAAAAGCAACCGAAGCTAGGAGAACTGGTCTTAGAGGACTGACGAGATCAATCTCAAGATGAAGAGGGATATCAGTTGCTAATTTGAACGCACTTTCTCCTGTAGATGATATCAGCTCAGCTTCACGACACACAAGAGTAAAAACTTCTCGATGTATACTTTCTCTTCCTGAAATAGTTGCAGGACCTCCAGGACCATACTTTTTGCTTCCCAAGTTCCCAGAATCGTCATCAGATGTTACAGGCAGTGCAACCATTTCAAGAGACAGCTCTACAAAATCTTTTAAAGCGCCAAGGTTTCTCGAACACTCTCGCAGGTAACCCAGCACCTCCCAGAGCAAAGTTACCCAACCTTCTTGTCTGTACAAGTTTGCAGTAATATCGAAAAAGATTTTTGCGTTGCTGGGATCAGACAAACCAAAGTACTCCTGGGCTACTTCAAATGCACAAAGAGCAGCCATCCTCCGGGCTTTAAGGTTGGTCAACGATTCATAAGATCTCTTCAGCCAAGCAATAATTTCAAAGGAATCCTGATATCTCTTTGCTTCTGAAATTGTATACCGTATATACTCTTCATCCGTTATACTGCAAAACATATTAGAAAAGCATACCGTAATAGGGGGTCGCTAAGTTAAGTTTTTTTCTTACACAGAGTTGTGGGGTGAATGATGAACAACTTACGAGTGAAGTGTCAAAGCTTCTCCATTCTCAAGTAACTGAGCAAACTGACCCACATAGACCGAAGGAGTAACGGATTCGGAGCTGCTATCAATATCTTGAGCTGCTACGGACATTGACATCAACAGTTCCAGTGCAGATTTTTTATCCTTCAAGTAATGGGCAGCCAACTGCGGGGAGAAGAAGTTTTTCCAGTAGATAAGAACATATTATACTTTCAACGTACTGTACTAGGCATAGAATGAGTTGAGAAAATATAGAGAAAGAGGAACAAGAAGTAATGGATGAAAAATCCAGCATTGACTTCAAGATACGTGCTTTAGTTTATATAGTGTTGTTAAGGAAAAATGGAAAAATGGTTAACACTAAATGCAGCACCAAGTGTAGATTATGATCATACTACGAGTTAGATAGGAGAAAAAGTGACTGACCTGATAATAATAGGCAGGATAAAACTCAAACTCAGTCAAAGAAATTTCTGCAGGTCCTTGGTTTAAGGATAAAACGCTCTGAACAGTTGCTGAGCTTGTCTCCAGTAACTCAGCAAAGACAAGAAACTGCCTACTCATCCATTCCCAATGGAGAAAGATAAATTCTGTGGATCCAACAACTTTCACATATGATGACTTATGTTGATGAAACCATGTTACCGCTTCTATGAGCTTTCCACCGTGCAACAAAAGAGTTGATATCTTGAAATGCAATTGCTCAGCTATGGTCTTGATCTCGACCAAGCGTTGTATAGCAGGCAACCTACTTGATGTCCCGATCATCTGTTTACATAAACAAAATTGCTCGTCAAAATTGAAACAATATACATAACCTTATTAAAAATCAAATAACAACAGATGCATTTTTTAAAAAATAGTGATGAAAAGGACCTCGTGCAAAGAATGGTACGCGTCTTCATAAAACTTCAAAGCTTCACCCCAATCTCTACGAAACTCTGCATATACAGCGACCTAGCAGTCATGACATGAATGAGCCTTCCATTTCCCAGATACTTTGAAACAAAATGATTCGACTTATCAGAGGTAATGAAAAGGCTTACTTTGAAACAATAGCGAACATTCAAATCGAGAGAGTGGGAACTCTTTTTCTCAATACGGCTTTTGATTCTTCTGCCTTCTTCTCTGTAATACGCAAGCGCCAACTCTGCAAACGCGGAAGCGATTCTGCAAACATATTGCGTTGAGAGGGTATTGAAGGACAAACCTCTTGTTTGTTTCTTGTGTAGGTGCAAGATAAAAAAACAGGAAAGGAGGAAAGAAACAGCAAACATGCCTGGAGAGAGAGAGAGTGAGCTCAGAGTCTATGCTGGAATTGACGAAGAGCACGTACTTGGAATCTAATTCTGCTCGCCTTCGCAATGCCACCAGACGATCTTCGCTAATTTCCTCTAGAAAAAGTCGGCGAGAGTAACCACGAGGATAATCGTAGAAATTGAAGAAAATATATACACAAATCGGAGAAAACGCTACCCTGTTGAGAAGACTGCACCACCACCACCACCAGTTTGATGTTTTTGGGACGGATGACGGATCTGGCAATGGAGATGGCATTATTAATCTGAAACCAATGAGGGGAACAAAGAGAAGAAAACAAACGAGGGAGATGGGGAAGTACTTGAGGTTGTCGAGATCGGAGCAGACCTGTAGCCATTGAGTTGGATCGCCGAAGATGTGATGTGAGGGAAAGAAGGCGGCGACAAGTGCAGGAACCTTGGTGCGATGCTTTAGCAACCAGTCCCGTTTTAAGATGCCGCCGCATCTGGACGGAGTGGGGGGAGAGGATTCAGAGACGCTGAGAGGATCTCTGAAGGAGGAGGTTCGGTTGATTTGATCATCATGAGCAAGGAGGAGAGAGAGATGAGAGAAGTCGGGGAAGGCCAGAGCGTTGATGGGAGGCTGCTGGGAATGTAGATGCTTAGTAATGGACGCGTGTAGCTCCGAGTGTCCGAAGAGAGCCACCAAACTCACCGGCGGCGTCCTGAGCTCTTCCGGGTATTCCTCCATCTCGCCGGAACGTGTTCGAGATTCGGACGCGTTGAATCGAGGAAGGAAAGTAAGGATATGTAACACTGCGTGGGCTTTTTTAATGGGCCTGTGATAAGTGCAGTTGCCAGATCTAGTTTTAATACTCGTGTAGGGGTCAGGCCCATTAGTCAACCATGATAACCACCCAATTCAAAAATATCAAGCTGTGCCCAAGGTTGGTTCTCTCTCCTTTAATTTGCTATACCAATGCCGTTCTGTATACACGCCATTTCCAAGTCATGCATGCGCACATATCATATCTCCCAGACTAGTTCTACCACAAAACCTGGTCTCATCATTCTTACCTTTTCTTGTTTAGATAATTCTTTGAATATCTTTTAGTTTAATTCAAATCTTATCCTCAGCTTAAATACGTAGTTCTCTGAGACATATATACAAGCAAACGACGGGTTCTTCTTCTTCTTTATTATTATTATCTGATTTATCCCCATAAGTTTTTTCGCCTGTCGATCATTGTTTAGTTATAATATATAGATCATTTTTCTCAAATTAAATTACTCTGTTTTCCATGTGTGTATGTGCTGGGTCGGGATAGTTAGTTTAGCAGAGTGGCTTGTGAAAGTCTCCTAATTATTATTGATTTATGTAATAAAGTAAAGGGAACGATGAGTACGGTGGACTTGGCATCGCAATCGCAGCCGTCGCTGAAGCTTGGGCGTCAAGTTGGAAGGATATTAAAAACAAATAATATAATAAAAAAGGTCAAGCTTGTGCACTTTGGGAAAATGTGACAGCTTGGATTACTTGTGCCTCCTTTGCTCGAGTATTGGTTGGTTGTAAATTGGTAGGCTTTTGGGTTGGATATAGAAAGACATGAAATTTGTTACGAGTCTTGCTTTGATTCTGTCAACATTAACCTGAGAGGATCCCAAAAGCCTCACGTCCCTTTGAAGCTTCAAATTTTGATGTCCATGTGATGTGCACCACCTGAGCCCAACATTACCCAGAAGCCAACTTGTCCTTAATTTTAATTAATCCCTTTGCTTGTATGCCTTCTCCTCCTGTTGAAAAGTTGGACTCTTCTTCTTCCTCTTGTACATGTACCCCCACTCCTCTGCGTTTTTAATATATACCCATCAATTCCCTTCATTTTCGCCACTCTAGTCTACACAAACAGCCAGAATATCAAAGCTTTCATATCTATCTTACATTGACCGCTTTTCTTCTTCTGCAAGAAAACAAAAAGGGATGGGTTTCTTAGAGTTATTGGAGGTGGCTTCAATGCCAATCGTCCAAGTTCTCCTAATCAGCATCCTTGGTGCCTTTTTGGCAACCGATTACTGCTCTCTTCTCTCCGCAGACACCCGAAGATCCGTAAACAAAGTACAACCTCCATCTTTGCTTCTTCTTTTTTTTTTTTTCTTTCGATTACCATTCACATACACACTAATAAGTGAACATATATACATTCTTTGCAGCTCGTCTTCGTGGTCTTCACCCCCTGCATCATGTTTGCCAACCTTGCCCAGACTGTCACATTGCAGGACATTATTTCATGGTATGCACTACCCTTCTTCACTCGCCCATATGAAAGACCATATGTGGCTTGGTTTTGATTTACAGAAATAAATTCCTTCAGGTGGTTCATGCCCATAAACGTTGGAATCACCTTTCTAGTAGGAGGCATTCTTGGATGGTTGGTGGTCAAGCTGCTAAACCCCAAACCTCAACTTCATGGTCTTATCATCGCTACTTGTGCCTCAGGTGACACTAGTTCCTCAAAATTTGACCAAGGAGCGAGGTTCCCGAATTCTAACATAAATGATATATATATATATATATGTGATGTAGGCAATATGGGAAACCTTATGCTTATTCTTGTTCCTGCCATCTGTGACGAGGAAGGCAGCCCTTTTGGGAATCGGAGTGTGTGCAGATCCATTGGACTCTCCTATGCATCCTTCTCTATGGCTGTAAGTTAAACCAAACATATCATCTTTCCTCTGCTCAGATTTGTTAAAGTAAATTTAATTTTCCTTCTTTTGTCAAGCGCAGCTTGGGGGTTTCTACATTTGGACCTACAGTTACCAACTGGTGAGAAGCTCTGCTACACAGTTTAAAGCTCTCGCAGCCGCCGGCTTGGTAAAAACTCCCAACAAGGACATGGGACTCGGATCCCCACACTCTTCTCCTGAAGCCGCAACAAAATCAAGACCTTGAAATCCAAGTCAAACAAAAGGTGTCTACTCGGACATACATCAACGACTTGCTCCATCAGATTCTTGAGGAACTCTTTGCACCACCCACTGTTGGTGCCGTAAGTATATGATAAAAGCAGAGAAAGAGAGACATGATTTCATTTTATCCAATCAATAATGAACTATAGTACTAGATCTAATGCTCTGATATGTCGTTTTGTGTTCCATTCAGATTCTTGGTTTCGTCTTCGGAGCAACCAATTGGCTGAGGAATCTTATAATCGGGGAGAATGCTCCGCTGCGAGTCATCCAAGATTCAGTGAAACTACTTGGGTATATACTATATAGGAGCACGTTTTTAGATATGGAAACATCCGTCACACGACTAATATATAGAGTTAATTTGGCAGGGAAGGCACGATTCCTTGCATCACACTCATACTGGGGGGAAACCTGATACAGGGTCTGCGTTCCTCAGCCGTGAAAACGTCGGTGATCGTGGGAGTGATCTGTGTGCGCTATATAATCCTTCCCGTGGTGGGGGTCGGGGTGGTCCACTTAGCGGGGAACCTAGGCTATCTTCCTCCAGACCCTCTCTTCCGATACGTTCTCATGCTTCAGTTCACCCTTCCGCCTGCTATGAATATCAGTAATTACTCGACATCCATTGTTGCCTGTAGCTAGATAAATAGGGGATAATCATTTCATTTCATTTTGTGTTATGGATCGCAGGCACGATGGCACAACTGTTCGACGTGGCTCAAGATGAGTGCGCTGTCATCTTCTTGTGGACCTATCTGGTTGCATCTTTAGCCCTCACCGTGTGGTCAACCATATTCCTCTCCATCCTCTCGTGAAAAGCAAATGGAGGATGCAACCTCTTGGTTTTTTTTTTTCTTAATTATTTGTTGATACTTTCCTCTCTTTTTGGGGGGGGTTGATACTTTCCTAGTACTACTTAGTATGGTTTGCCAAATAAAACGGAGAAAGACATAGTTTTTTTTGTGGGCTTTTTTTCTAGAAAAGGGGAAGGAAGTGTGGGCCATAGAGAAAGAGAGAGCCCAAACAGGAGAGAGGCGTGTCGAAGTTGGGCACAGAAAGAAAGAAACGTGCCCCGGCTGCATCCTCCACGTTGCTTTTTTGCTTGCATACTCGGTTCTCACGTCTTCAATCTTTTTTCCTCGAATCTTCTACATTTCTTCACACCTGTCCTCCCTCCTT